TAAATGAATGTAAAAGACCAAAAGGGACAACACAATTATTTGTTGCCTAGTTATGTTTAACTTGTATAGGTGAATTAAATAACTAGCATAAGGGTGAGCATTCAAGTGGGAAAAGAAGATTAGGCTGGAAATCCATATAGAGATAGCAACATATTCAAAGAATGGGTGTCAAATGCATACTTCCAGTCCTGCATAAACTGCTACAAACAAAGCATATCCAGCTGGACCATAACCTGTTCACCAAAAGCTCTATGAGATTAAGTCAATTATAGCATTATTAAAAAAATAAAAATAAAACAGAAACGGAAACCCTACATATGATATGTCTTCTGATTTTATCAAAAGATAATTCAAGCAAGGTACAAGAACTGTCATTCCAGAGGTAAAATAGGAAGAAGATGTGTTCCTATTTTCCGACCACATGGTAAGGGTTGATTGTGGTAGGGCCCCAAAGGGTACATCTTATGTTCAAAATACAGCATTAAGGGGAAAATTCTATTACTAGAGCTCCATAAAATTAAGCTAAGGCATGCGTTCTTAACAAGAGGAGAGAACCTAGGATATATATGGATAAACTTGCAACCTACACAGTTACATGTGATTTTGAATTGGCAAAAGGTACTTCAACAGAGTACCCTTATTTTTTTACAACTGCAGCTACTCAAACACAATATGGCATCAACTTCTGCAACATAGTTTTCTTAATAGAAGAGCTGGGGATGGGGCTAATGAATTTGGCAGGCTACTGCTAACTTGAAGGGGAGAAAAATCTCTACTGTAGTTTGATAGCTTGATCTGCTTATGTATACTATATCTGGCTATGGAGAAGCGCTAGATGATTCACCAAAATTTTCAAGTCTGAGGATAATCAGAATCAACAACTCACATGAAGATTCAATTTCGAAGAAAAATAGAACAGAGCATGTTTTAACGCTTAAGCGGCAACTTCCTGTGCAATTTTTTATTTCATTTGTATCTGTGTTTTTTGTAGGTTGGTATAGCTTTTGTTCTGTTTGGTGTTTTTGGTTGAATATAATTTCATACATTGGGCATGAAAATATAAAGGATATGGGAATGCTATGTTGCAATGCAACGATTATACTGTCTGTTTGGTCCCTGGATAGATTCTGGTGCCAAGCCGTGGCATGAGTTGGGGAAAACGTGAACAATAGGCTAAGAACTCTTCTATTGCTTTCATAGTTCACACCCCAAGATTCTTTTTTACAGATAAGTTTTCTAAATCAGCATTACCCCACCATCCAAAATCCTTCAAAAGGCTAGAGTTCAGTACCAAAAAAAGAGTTGAGGTACTGGGTCAAAACATGCAGTCTGCCTCGAAGTTGTCAAATTTTCCTAAAATACAATGAGATAAGCAAAAGTTCCACATGACTATACATGTAATCAAAAGTAAATCCCAGGAAGACCTGAAAAAGCTGATATCGAATTTGCATAAATTGCAATCTTACCTACTAGACCCCAATCCTAACACCCATTTATTATAAGATAAATAAATAAATCTTAAACACCAATTAACAAATTCCAAGCAGAATTGAGATTAAAAAAACTGCAAAAGGGTATAAAAATTTCGCAAATTTACCTTCAATGAAAGTGGAAAACTGGTTCAAGAAGGCGTTGATCTGGTCCTTGTACAAATACCCAACACCGGCAAACCCACCAACAATACCAACCAAGAAAACACCGGCCAAAACAGTACCTTTAAGCGCAGTGTCACCGCCGAAGGCACTGTCAGCCTCATCAGTCTTTTCAATTTCACCACCTTCGTCACCCTTTGGGTTATTGAAGAACCAGCGCTGGCTCTGAGGAGGAGGAGCATTGGGAGGCCTGGTGGTCTTCTGGAGAGACTTCTTCTTGGACTGTTTGAGAGAAGAGCATGGGCTGAGGAAGTGAAAACGCTTGTTGGGTCTGAAGCTGAAGAGGAAAGAAGGAGGTGGGGATAAGGAAGAGAGGCATGGAAGGAGCACAGATGGCGGTGGTGGTGGCCTCAGAGTGAGGAGGGTGCGCATTTTAAGTAGTAGGTTGTCGGTAGGATAAGAGCGGGAGGCACACCACTGCCATGTATGGATGAAAAGAAGATAACGGAAGTGAATATGAGGGAAATGGAAAAAGAGAAATCTACTAAGAATGATGAGTGAGTGGTTTTCAAATTTTGGAAGGGACTGGAAATCTATAGTCTTTGTAATTTTAATCAGGTCCAAATTGGCAATTGGAAATTTGTAAGAGGAGGATAATTGTGCGGTTCAGATTGATTAGGTGGTAAAAGAGAGGTAGAGGAAGTGACATGTATTCTTTTGTTTACCTCTGATTGCCTTTTTCGAAAATTCTGTGGTGCATTTTTGCGTCAAATATGCCTGGTTGGCACACCAGCAGCTACCAATCATTATGAAAAGCAACTGTTTTTCTTTTATTATCATTTTAAATCATCTATGATAGATGAGAGATTTCCTTTGAGTAAGAAATAGTTGAATTCCGGCTATGGCAAAGAAGACTTCAATTTTGTAAAGCTGCTTGCAATAGCTGAGGAAAAAAACAGGTTTGGCCTTTCAAGAACTTTCACTGCTGGGAAGACATAAGGAGAATGAAATGGTATGTTTGCCATGTTTGTTACACATTATAATAAAACATTCAAAGTTCTCTACAATTTTATGGCCAATGCAGCACAGCCAGTGACAGGTGAATTTGCTTAATACTTTACTGAAAGAGTTAGTCTTCAAGGTATGTAGCTAAATAGAATTTTTACTATGAATATGAAAAAGTTGGATACATATCATACAACACATGCATACATATACTTAACATGTTGTGTATTGACGCAGCATGACAATAAATTGACTAAAATCTTAGCCTAGAATATGTAACTCTAGAATCCATAAGGAAAGTATGGGGAAACCTCAAGGTTTATTTGATAAATTAAAATAACAAAACATAACACTAGCCACAGGTAAAATCTGTTTAAATACTCCTAGAGACTCTAGAAATAAACAACGAATTAAAATTGAAAAAAACACAAAGTATCCAAAATTTATAAAAACTTTAAAACTAAACTTCGGGCTACTAAACTATCTCGAATCGACAGGTCATAGGCCCGATTATGAGCTCGGAGTCCAAATCTGTTGTTTGCTCGATTTACCCTTACACGCGCGTCTCTGCAGCTCCTCTTCAATTGCTTCCGTCATCTGTTCTAGATCATGTATCTAATCCCACTTTTTCCTACTCCATCTGGATTACTGTATAAAATATGGGGAAGGAGGCATGTGCAAGTATAGTGACTTTACTCATTTTAAATTTAGATCTCAGCTGGTTTAAAATTTATTTGTTGATGACCACTGTCTAATAAATAAATCCAGGAGAGGTAGGGTTAACAAATAAATTTTGAATATCATATATTTGCTGTAATTCAGGTCTATCACAGCTGAGCCTCCAACCAAATTGAACTCTTTTGCATTCTAATGCATGATGATGGGAGACACTTAAATTAAGGGCCCTTTTGCCACCCTTACATGGTTCTCACCCCTCACGAAGCCACCATCATACCTCACACTCACAAAAGCAAATAAGTAATTAAGTTGAATTGTTATAGTCAAAGTCGAATTCCAAAAAGTAAATTTTACCGATATATCATGCAACATCTATTGCTTTTTCTCTAATCACATTTGCATGATGATGAACTTCATATATTTGTAGAATATCAAGTTCATAGGCACACATTTGTTGAATGATGATTTATTATAAATGGAGAACAAACCTTAATAAGTTTGAGATATTGGAGGAAACTAGAAATAAATCATCTTTATATATTTTAGGAGTTGAGGAAATCACTAAGAAATATGCATGCTTTGTCTAAGGTCATCCAAGTTGATTTCAAATGTCGCACTCTCACAAGCCTCAAAGCCAATTTCTTGACTTCTCTTGCCCCATGCCAATTGGTTCACAATCACTGGTGGTGGAACTAGCTTCACAATCATCTGCTACCCTACCCGTCTCATCTTTAATAACTTCAATTCCAATTTCTTATTGGACACATGTCATAGATGGAAGGTTTCAGCTTAATAAGTTTGAGATATTGGAGCAAACTATAAATAAACCATCTTTACTAATTTTAGTTGTTTTATTAATATGATGGAAATGACATAAATGGAGCAATTCTTGGCTTCACAAACCAAGATTTTCTTTATAAAGTTTGAAGCTTTCAGGATTATACTAAATTCTAATGGCGTGTTTGGTAGGCTTCATTAGGTTGGACTATACTAAATAAGCCCATGTTTGGTAAAATGGGGGACTAAGTTAAAATGCAAGATATAAAGAATGTTTGCCTATATTTTTGTCACAATTTCCTGGGTTATCTATTTTATCCTCAACCAACATATTTTGGTATAATAACATACAGTCTCGATCTTTTGGACTACAGGGGTCCAAGAGATTTGTGGTCACTCACTGTTAAATGTAAATTTAACGGTTCACTCACTTTTACACTCTTTTTAAGAAACTTTTTTGAACCGTTAGATTAACATCCAGCGATGGGTTACCATAACTCTCTTGGACTCCTATGGTCCAAGAGATCAGGGCTATAATAATATAATATCACCTCGTAAAGACTCAATTAATCAAACTCTTTGTGTTTGTATACAAATAAAGACTCGATTATACATAAACTTGGTGGAATTTATAACTTTTAACAACAAACAAAAAACCTTTGGTTTGGAGGAAAAGAAATGTATATGTCAATTTGGTAATTATAATAACAAAAAAAACTTACATGAATTATTTAAAAATTATTATTTTTAAATATTAAAATAATGATTTTTTAGTTCGACATAGAACCAAACATAGGTCTTCACTATTTTTACAATCTAGCTTTTTAGTCCAACACAACATTAAACGTAGGTCAATACTTAATCCAGCTTAGGCCAATCCGAGCTAATCTGAGACAGTCCCATGATTTAGTCCAGTCCATGACAGTCCGCCGTGCCAAACGACCCCAAAATGCTTCATAAAGTACGTGAAAATTTTTAGGATTATAAAGCAAAATGTTTTACCATACAATTACTGCAAGATACCATACAATGCTGATTGTTACAAACTCCAAAACCATACCTAATTTTGACCTAAAACAATACCGGATGGGTACTCCTACGAGGAATTTAAGAAATCAAATCATTTAAAATCATCTACGATTTATTGCTTTCTGTTTGTTTACGTGAGGAGGAACTAGCAGCTTTTGATGAGAGATTTCCTTTGAGTAAGAAATAGTTGAATTCCGGCTTTGGCAAAGAAGACTTAATTTTGTAAAGCCGATCATTTAGACCAGCTTGCAATAGCTGAGGAGAAAGCAGGTCTGGCCTTTCAAGAGCTTTCACTGCTGAGTTCGCTGCAAGATTAATCTAAGGGAAAAACACAAATAGAAATGAAGTGGTATGTTTGCCATGTTTGTTACACATTATAATCAAACATTCAAAATTCTCTACAATTTTATTGCCGATACAGCGCAGCCAGAGATAGTTCATACAATACATTACAGTTGAATCCGTATAATACTTTACTGAAAGAGTTAGTCTTTCAGGTATCCAACTAAATAAATTTTTTACTACGAAGATGAAAAAGTCTGCGACATATACATATAGTACATACATACATGCATATAGTTAACATGTTGTGTATCTACATCCTACTGTTTCCTACTCCAACTGGATAACTGTATGTGCATAAAACATGGAAAAGGAGGCATATGCAAGTATAGTGTGTTACTCAGTTTAAAATTTAGATCACATCTGGTTTAGAATTTGTGTGTTGATAACCACTGTCCGATAAATCCAGGACGGGTAGGTGTAATGAGGGTCAAAAAATAAAATTTGTATATCACATATTTGCTATAATTCATTTCTATCTATCACAGCTAAGCCTCCAACCAAACTAATTCTCTTTTTTATTCTATCTCACAAAGCCATATTGATTTCCCCAACACAAATTATAGGGTGAATCAGCTATGGAAGACACTAAATTAAAGGCTCTTTTGCGCTCCTTGGCTCACAAATTTCCTGTAGCCAAGGATCAGCTAAGTCCACAGCAGATATGCTGGCAGAGAGAAGAGACTCTGGGTTGCCCTTGATTTCTAGCTACAAAGTGAGTATTTCTTTCAATCATTGTAAAACATCTCTTACACTGAGGCGTTTAAAACGTTTCAATGTATGCTGATGGATGAATTGTTCTAAGATTATCAACGTGGTGGTCGCAAACAAACATAGCTTACATATTTTTCTGCAATGAAACTATCAGCACAGTACAACACTATAACTTCTTCATGGCATGTGTGGGAAAGTGGCAAGCTAAGTTCCAGTGGTACAAATCACAACAACAACAACAACGAGGGGCAAGTCTAGCTCAAGGGCTTCACCAACATGTTGTGAAAACAAAAGCTGACAGACTGAACTTAAAGCATTTTGATCCCTTTTTCGGTCATTTTTGATAAGTTTAAAGCATCTTTCTTTCGGCAGAAGTTTAAAGTATCGTTGATTATACCATCAACTAAGTCTAAACTTATGAAGTCCAGAGAGACCAAATTCTGTTTATCTCTTCCTCTCAAAGTCCAATTAGCACACCCTAATAAAACTAAAATGTCTGATGTCAAATAAGTTATCAAAATGTTAATGTACATAAAGAAAGAGCAAAACACATATCAAAGAACTAATAGTGAATTCAGTTTTTTTAGTGAAATATAGAATAACATTAATCTCAAACGTAAATGTAAGAATGAGCTGAAAATTCATCATACCGACTGCGAAGCCATCTTTATCAAAGATTTTGCAAGAGGCAGGACGCAAAACCTTAATCAAAGCCAATAGGACAACAATTAGGCTTAAAATTAAGTAGTATACTTAAAAAGTTCAATAATATCCCATTTCCACATTTCTTTTCTACCCTTTTTTCTCAGTAACCAATCAGTGGGTTCTCTAAGGTAAAGAAAGACAAAGAACTTACATTCCTCGGCCACCTGCCAGAGCTTCCTCCGATGGGTCTTTCCATTCATCAATTCTGAAACATGAATATCAATTATTTTAAGCTTAATTACGTCTATATATATATATATATATAGATAGAGAGAGAGAGAGAGAGAGAGAGAGAGAGAGAGACTTACACCCAACCATAACGGCGATCAAACAAAAGGCGTTTGGAAGGTGGGTTTGAGGAGGCTGTCACGGAGATTGAGGAAGTTGAAGACTCCATTTTCCCTCTTTCTCTGAAAGCAGATATTGGATTTGTGAAGTAAGAAAGCTTTGGGCTAAAAATGAAGTGGGCCTCGTTTTAAAATTGCATTGGAAATTGGGGCCCATTGATTGGGTAATTTCGTAAATAAAAGAGACCGCGGGGATTCATATTTTAAAGGCACCTCACTTTTCCCGCTTCGCCCCAACTCTCCTAATATCTGAGACTCAGAGCTTTGGAAATGGCGAATACGAAAGCAACGTCTCAAATTCCATCGAGGGCCATAAACTCGGGTACCTTTTTGCTTTCAATTTCCACTTGCTCATTCATATTTTTTCTTAAATTTTCTTTTATGTTTGTGGTAATTTCATTTTTGCTCCGATAGATTTCACCTATGCTCTGTTTGGTTACTTGGAAAATTTGGATGCAGAAACTGGAATGTCCACCATAAATCTCACTTCCTCTGCAATAAAATTCTTTTAACCCAAGACATTTCTCCAAACGCAGCATTAAATTTTGTTTGATCCGTAAGGAAAAAGATAAGAAGAAGAAGAAAAGGCGAAGGAATTGAAATTTTGATCTGGTTAAGTTGAATTTCGTTCAGTTTTTACAGAAATTTTGTAGAGGAAGTTCTCTGTTTGATGTATCAGAATACCCTCATTTTTTCTCCGTTCGTTTTCACTTATGCTCTGTTTGGTTCTTCAAAATTTTAAAAATTGGAATTGAAATTTCCGCCTAAATCTCACTTTCTCTGCCACAGTGATCTCCTAGTCGAAGCCTTTCTTTTTTCTTTTTTCCAAATAGAGCATTACCTTGTGTTTGGTTTGAGTGAAAAGGAAACAAATAAGAAGTAGAAGAAGGAACTGAAATTTTGATTTGAATTTCTTAAAATTCGTTCGTTAACTTGCAGGTGGTGGTGGTGGGGTTTGCATGATGAGCAACACATGGAGAGATGAACAACACCCATCTTTCATCAACTTCATTTCCACCTTCCTCACTGCAAACGCTTTCCGTCTTAACTTTGTCCCAATTGCCCCTGTAATTTCCTTCATCACACTCTCAAGTCGAAAAGAAAAAGAAAACAAAATTGGTGCATCACTTTTGACTCACTTGACTCAACTCTGTGATGATTCCATTTGTATTGCAGGACTTCATTTTCAACTGTGGGGGTTCATCTGTGGCATTCATCTTTGTGACAAGCTTGGATCCCACTTGCATCTCACAAATCTTCGGCAGGTGACCAAGTTGTTGTTATTTCCTAATGCCTCTTGTGTGTGTCTGTCTCTGTCTTTTTATGTTTGATGCGATTTGTTCAGTTATACAGAGTTCAAAAGCTGAAGCTGCAATTTGCAAATCTATACGTTGTCATCACCCTCCCAACCAAGGAGAAAAATGATTTGTTTGTTCGTTCTTACTTCAAGTGAGTTATAAGAAATTTGTCCTATGTTTAGAGATGTGATTTACCTATACAAATCATAAATGCGATTCCTTTAATATTTACTTATTTGGATTGTTTGTACAGTAACTGATTGATTAAAAAGTAATTGCATCTGTTTGAATCTGTGAAGATACGGAATGGAGCTTGGTAAACCCACATTCGTTCTGGTTAAGGACTTGGAAATGGGGTTTGAAAAGATGGTAAAGATAGCTCACTCTCGTGGGGGTAAGTATTGTTCTCTGAAACTTTGATAATAAAAAATTCCCGAGTAATAATTTGCCTAAGTAACCGTTAATTACAGTATGCAAGCGAGAGGATGCTACCGCAAAATTGAAGGCTGAGGTTGGTACAATAAGCTGCTTCGTTGTTTAATGTCAATACGAATGTTAACCATATTGTTCTAACATGCACATTTCTTTTTACTTCTTCTCTTGGTGGTGGTGTTTGAAAAGAGGAAGCAAACTGTGCAAGCAGTGAACGTTTTTCAAAGAGTGATCACATCCATTCCGGGTATCGACAATCATGATGCGAATGCGGTACTTGACTCATCTTGTTGCTTTCTCCGCTGTTAATAAAATCCATTGATCCATTCGTTAAAAAATCCTTGCTACATACAAGGAAATTATACTTCTCGGAAGTAGGAAGAAGTTAATAGACTCCTTTTTTCATTTTTGGTATATGTTGTTGATTTGGGAAAACCGAAATGTTAAAAATGGTAGATCTACTTTTAATTAGCATCCCAAAGTTTGCTAATTGTTTGTGATTGTTGGAGTTGTGCAAGAAGTATAATTGTATTGGTTTCTGAACACGTCTGAACTGAAATAATGTTGTTCCAAATAATTTTATTTCTGGCTTTTGGTTAGAAAGTCCAGTTTAAATCCCTGAATTCTGATTCTTGCTAATTCCCACTGGCTTCTTAATTTCAACATGAAATTTTTGAATGCATTTCTATACTCTGTAACAATCATTAACTAAAGAATAGATCATTGAGGAAAAAAAAAACATAAGACTAATTGAAGTGAAGCTTCCCGCATTTGAGTTGTACAGTGTTATATTAGGTTGTCATGCGACATTGTCTGTTTCTTATATTGTGGCAATTTTGTTCAGCTTAACCAAGCGATTGGTTCGATTGAAGCAATTTCCAAGGCATCGAAGGAGCAAATTCTGGAAAACACAGACCTCTCTGCTGACAAGGCGGAAGTAGTTTCAAGGTTTTTCAGGGATCCAAAGTTTTACCTGCGTCCCAAGATCAACTGATCTATAGGACTGGTTTCTGTATCTCTCTGTTTTCTCTCTTCACATGGACATTCAAAAATTCACAGGCATCAAGCGTCATGTGTTACTGCAGACTAAAATTTGTAGATTAAAAAAAAACAGAATCTATGCAGATTCTTTATTGGGCCTTAAGCTTGCAGTTGCTATTGCTTGGATGAATATGAATTAGCATTCTATAGCTTGTTAAATTTACGTGCTTACCAAGTTTTGGATTCACATCCCTCCATGCCACTGTAACTAATCAAGAAATTCAATCATCTCATTGCAAATGTCAAGCCGAAAGAAAACACCAAACAGTTGAAAACAGGCAAAGGAATAGAAACCAATTCAGCACTTGCAGGCTCAGAACTTCAAGTCTGCTGAAGATCATATCAAATCACTGGGTGCAATAATATTTCATGTAGTTTGAGCTCCATTCTCAGCTGTGATGTCTTGACCACCCCACTTCCTCACGTGTTTTGTTGCTTGCTCCATCTCATTGTTCCAGTTGGTTTTGTAGAGCACAAACAACAGAAGCAAAGTTTGGAGAGCAGTTCCACATATCATGCCACCCCAAAGTCCCGTAACACCCAGTTTAGCGGTATAACCAAGAAGATATCCAAGAGGATGTCCAAAAATGTAGTAGCAACCCAAGTTTATATAAGCTACCATTGCCTGCCATCCACCTCCAATTGCAGCCCCTGATATTACTGGCTGGACGCTGTTGACCAACATAGTTATACCAAGATAGGCTAGCTTAGCGACGGCATGTTGCAGATGCTTGTCACTTGTAAAAATTAGGGAGAAACTGTCTTTGGTTATCAAGATAACAATCACTGGAAAAAAAAAATCCCAATTAGGAGAGACTGAAACATTGTCACATAGACACAGTATTTGGCTGCTCTTGGCCGTCCTGATCCAAGCTCATTGGAGATGCGCACGCTTATTGCCACATATATTCCAATGAACAACATTTGTTCCCACCCGTTAATGTTCACGCAAATAGAAAGGGAACCAACAGAACTGCATTATCAAGATGGCCTGTGAGAATGAGTATGCTCATCACGTACCAAATCTCAAGGCAGAGCATGAGAGCAGAGGCAAGAGAAAGTCTTATAAAAGCCCACATCTCCTTGAAAGCCAACCATGACGATCCAGCCGTCCTTGCACCAACCCATTATATACACAAGCTCAGTAATTGCAATCTCCCATCTTGCAATGTTAAATGCAACAGCCGCACGCAATGTGCCCCAACTGAACACCAAAATGAGGAGAGCAGTCCAATTTGTATGAGCAAACCCGAAACTGCAATCCATGCCAGAACCTTAACCTTTCTCTGAGCTTGAAGGAACTTCTGAGCTGGAAAATTAATGGCAAGTGAGAACAATGAAGGAATGGTTTGGATTGTAAATTCTCCAGCTAGATTGGCTATGCCATCTTCTTGGCCTGGCAACTTTAAAACAGGTGTGGCAAAGATACAAATTGGCAAGAGGAAGAGGGTGGTTACAAATAGGATTATCCATGAGCGCTGCATGTAAATCCCAAGCATATGAATTTTCCCAGCTCCAAATGCCTGCTCACACAGGGTCTCAAGAGCACTCCCCATTCCAAGCAGGAATCCATCAGAGAATGTGGAAATGTCGGCGAGAGCAATGGAGACGGCTGAGAGCTCTACAGCTCCTATATGACCAACAAAGAGAACCACAGCCGAGCTAGTCCCATACATACACAACATAGTGATCACTGTCGGACCTGCTATTTTCCACAGCTGCACTTTCTCGATCCAAAACACACACCGCAATGCATCGAAGCTCCTCACCGGAGCATAGTCTTCTTGCCCACCTTCATACCTCAGATCATCATCATGATGAATGAGGAAGCTTATTGCTCAACTCAGCGTCAGCTTCCATTCCCTAAAACCCTGATAAAACCTCTGGACCACGTCACTCAAATGTTGAAGATTTAATGCTTATTTTGTGGGATTTATATTGTGTATCAACCATAATTGAATAGCCAGATTTATTTCCTTTAGTATAGCCTTGTAAATCAAGCAATAACTTATGCTTATTTTGTGGGATTTAAACTGCGTGTAAATCAAGCAATTCCTTATGGATGCTTGCCTCTCTTTCCTTTTCCGTTTTGTAGAGTTAGTGCATATCTCGGTTTCTATCTTTCCAAGGGTAAGTGGACATTCAAAAGTTCAAAGGGATCAAGCGTCATGCGTTACTGCAGACCAAAACTTGTAGATAAAAAACGACAGAATCTATGCAGATTCCCAATTGGGCCTTAAAGCTTGCAGTTGCTATTGCTTGGATGAATAAGGATGAAAGCCGGGCGGGTTCAGCCTTCAGAT